AAGTCAAAGATAGTTCTATTCATAAATGCCCATGGGTCTCCTACTAGTGAGTAAGTGGAAAAAAGACATTAACTGGACTGTTAAGACCTATGAAAATCAACATACATGTCTTCAAACAAGGAAAATTAGGGCATGCAACTACAAGTTTCGCTCTGAACAGATTATTGACACAATGGAGTCAAACGCAGAAATACCACTTAGAGCATTACGTGAGATGCTTGAGAAGAAATACCAAGTTGGATTGTCAGACATGGAAGTTCATAGGGCGAAACAAAAACCCTGGAATCAATTGAGGGAGATTTTGCTGCCCAATACTCGTGTCTAAGAGACTACTTACAGGAGGTGCAGACTAGAAATCCAAACACCACTGTTAAACTTCAAGTGCAAAGTGAACCATGTTACACATCTGAGACCAGGGTATTTGAACGGGTATACATTTGTCTTGGTCCACTGAAAAATGGATTTGCAGCAGGGAAAAGAGATTTACTAGGGCTTGATGGTGCATTCATGAAGGGTCCATACCATGGGATGATCCTGACAGCAGTGTGCATAATCATATTTTAGTATTTCATTAATGTTTGACCATAGTTAACTGTTTGCTTATTACTATGTTTGACATGATAATTTAGGGTTTAGATGGGAACAACTGCACATACCCTTTGGCATATGCAGTTGTTGAAGCAGAGAACTTTAACTTATGGACCTGGTTTTTAACTAACTTAGGAGATGATCTTGGTTTGTATGCAAACTCTAACTTCACTTTCATATCAGACAGACAGAAGGTAAATAAAGTTCTCCATTCATTTTCACTTGCATGTTTTTACAATTCAATAAGCAACTTCACTCTTTTGATGATTTAGGGGTTATTGCCTGCACTTGAGAAACTTTTCCCAGCAGCAGAGCATAGATATTACCTAAGGCATCTTCATGAGAACATGAAACGTAAATGGAGGGGCAAGGAATTCAAGGATTGTCTTTGGAATTGTGCAACATGTACCACCATATCACAATTCAACAGTGCCATGGAAGAACTAAAGAAACTTAATAGTGAAGCATATGACTGGCTTAATTCTATTCCCCCTAAGCACTGGTCCAGATCCCACTTCTTAGGTATATAATATTATGTTGATAAGTATAATTTTTTTTTAAAATAATCTAATACGTTGTGTTTATCCGGGAGGGCACATTGTGATGCTTTGTTGAATAATATGTGTGAGAGTTTGAATAACAAGATAGTGCAGGGTCGTGATAAGCCAATTATCAGTTGCTTGGAGTTTATTAAGAAGTATATCATGAGGAAAATTGTCATGGTTCCAAAAGAAATTGACAAAGCTAATGGCCCATTAACTCCTACAGCCACTAAGACCCTTCAGAAAATTAAAGAAATGGCAGTACAGTGTAGGACAGTGTTCTGTGGCAATGGTGTAACACCCATAAAAATCAAGCCAATTTAAAACCTTTTCAAACATCCAAAACCATTCGTTATTACAAAATGTTTTCAAAATAGTTTAATATCAGAGTATCCCTGAAACCATAAGTCCAAAACACGAGGATGTGTACGGTCATGCCTTCGCCTTGCCGAGACATCTGAAGCACCTGAAACAATAAACTGAAACCGTAAGCACAAAGCTTAGTGAATTCCACCAAAATACCCATACACACAACAATACACATATAATCACAAACAACATACTATGAGTCCAGTCAACCATCGGGTTGGAATACCCCAGGCCCTCAACCATCCGGTTGGAATGCCAACATACTATGGGTCCAATCATCCTCTGGATGGAATACCTCAGGCCCACAACCAACAGGTTGGAATGCCCACATACTATGAGTCCAATCATCCTCGGGATGGAATACTCACGCCCTACAACCAATAGGTTGGAATGCCCAGGTCTATTGGCTTTCGCACAAAGCAGATAAGCCTCAACCACCAATCAAACATGTGCACATATAACAAATAATCACATAACAATCTATAGACAGACAAATCGATCTAACAGATCATAACAACATAGTAGCATCCTATCTACCAAGATACCGATTTAGCGGATCATAACAACATATAACATCCTATCTACCAGGATACTGATCTAACGGATCATAACAACATATAACATCCTATCTACCAGGATACTGATCTAACAGATCACAATAGCATAATAACATAATACCATCCTATCTACCAAGATACTGATCTAACATATCGTAATAGCATAATACCATCCTATCTACCAGGATATTGATCTAACAGATCATACTAGCATAACATATCAGGATAACAATCCAAAAGGTCGGCCTTGGTGCCTTAGACCCTTAAGTATAGTGAGGAAAACTCACCTGGCACTGCTGAAGTCCCGCAGATAAAACTCCAGCTGCTGGTTGACAGATTCTCGAACTGTCAACATCAAACAATACCCAATTAATAATTAGGTACCAAGCCCAAGGTCCAACTCACACTCCAAAGACCCAAAAGTCAAGTAATGGGCCAAAGCCCAACATATGGCCTAATTTTCCAAATTGGGCCCAGACCTCTACATGGTCTTTCCTTAAGGCCCATTTAATTATTCTAGTCCAAACTCTTGGTATTCCCATGGCCCAATATCACATAATCATTAAGGCCCAATTATGGCCCATCTATGGCCAAAATTTCCAAATTGGGCCCAAAACTCTCACATGGGCATTATCCTAAAACTCATACAATTATTTAGTCCATTTACTTATTCTTGGAAATCCCATTAATAGTCCAATCACCAAAGCCCAATAGAAAGGCCCAACTCAAGGCCCAAGTGAAATTAGAGTTTCCACATGAAATGACGATTAAGGTTAAGTGTTTCTTACTTAACCCATTAAGGACTTAATCCCTTAAGTCCAATATTGCCTTAGCTTAATTTGCCAATGATTATTAATTATTATTTTAGGTTTAATAATTAATTCTCGTGCGGTCCCGATAAAATCCCAAAATTAGGGTTTCAAGGCATTAGGGTTTTCCAACTCAAATACTAGCCCATTAATCAAATGGTTGGGCTTTCAGATCAATTGGGCTTCATTGGGCCATTAGGGTTTCATTGGGCCCATTTTGTCCAAGCATCCCTAAACGAGTCAAAACGCAAACAAGGCACACCGCCACCCAACACGGCGGCTGGTGGCGGCAGCCACCACCTCACGGTGGTGGTTATAAGCTTTTTATTATTATTCCGGCCGATTACAATTTTACAATTAACTTCCAAAAACTCAAATAAACACACACACAAAGCCGCACTGTGGCGGCAGGCGGTGGCCGGAAGTGCTAGCCACCACCTCACGGTGGTGGTGGTGGCTCACTTTTGTTTCCAGTTTACACAAACCACACACACTCTTAATGCAATTTAACAACAATACACACACACGCCTAAATACAAAGCAAAAACACGCACACATCCACCTTCCACGGTCGCCGTTGGCAACGAAAGAATGGCAGCAGGCGGCCATTGGCGGCACAACCGTTGTCACGACGATAGGCAACAGCTCACGACGATAGGGCGCTAATAGATGGCGAAAGGTGGCCGGAGAAGCACCGACGACTGCAGGGATGGTGACTTCGAACGACGACAGTCGCAACAAAAGGACAGGACCTGCTGGTGGTCCCCGTCGTCACCAGAAAACAACTATAGCATTGGAGGGCGTCATGGACATCGGCGGCTGCTGGACAGGACGATGGCGAAGGACAGTCGGAGTGGCACCGGCGAAACGAATGAGGACATTGATTCACGATGGCAGCAACGAGACTACATGTCTGACGACCCATTGGTTCGACGTCGTGCGTGGCTTTTCTTCGTTGTCAGCGGTTGCACCGATGATGTGGCTTCGCTTGGCGACACCGGCGGCTAGGAGACGGTGGTCGGAAACAGTAGGAAGCGATTGGCGGCTGGAGGATGAAGAGGGAGAGGTGGCGGCAGTTTAGAGCATTTAGGGTTAGGGTTTAGAAGGTGACGGGTAGTGAGGTTATATATCTGGTCCCTTAAACTAATTTCCATAATAACGCCTTTGGTCCCTCCTTATATTATTCTTTTCAAAACAAATCCCTAATTTACCAATTAAACCCTGCCTTCTAAAAATCTTTCTGATGATATATGGTCCATTAGCACAGCCTAGACTACTCTAGCGCGCCAGCCTGGCCTGGCGCACTCCTGCCAGCCCTGCCTAGCGTTCCCTTGCTAGCCTTGCTGGGGACTCCCTTGTCAGCCTTGCTGGGGACTCCCTTGCCAGCCTTGCCTGGTGCGCGCTCGCCAGCCCCACCCGGCGCCTCCGGGTGGCCTCGCCCAACTCCTTGCTAGCTGGGCCTGAATTGGGCTGGCCCAAGGCTGTGACTAATTCCCCTTGACCTAATTGTCCCCTATATAATGAACAGTACCTCCTCCATGGAGGGGGATCTGCCCCTTGGCTCAACCGCCGCCCTATACTCCGGCCGGGTGGCTCAGCCGCCACCCGCCGCCGACAGCCACCATACACCACCACCAGCACCAAGATGGTCCTCTCTAGCTAAAGAGAACCATCTCAGATCTACTAGATGATCTAACTTGACCGTCGGAGTCTGCTCCCGGGGCACAGTCCCTGGGGCGGCTCTAACGGACTTGTCTGTTGTGACCTCGCAGATCCGTCTCCGGCGTAGAAGCACCCGTTCAGGGCAAGTGGTCGGAGCCGAAGTCGCATCACTTTCCAAATCAAGTCCAAAATGTTACCAATCAGCCCCTCCTCTACAAAAATCTTCTCATCTTAGGTCCAGAACTTACTCTTTAGTCCCCGCTTCCATAAATCCTTACATATTAAGTCCAATTAATACCAAACACCCCTTGACTTATGAAAATCTTTACAAATTAAGTCCCAAAACTACACATTAACCCCTGGAGATTCAAATCTTGTCATTTGGCTTCCCGAAACCAACTCCCAGCTAACTATTATTTGATTTTGGGCTATAGTAATATAAAATAATAATTATTATTATTTCTCAGGGTTTCCGGGTTTATTATTTAATTATTCTATTTTAAACGGGATGTTACAACTCTCACCCACTTAAATTTGATTTCGTCCTCGAAATCGTTTCTTGTCATTCCTTACACGCCAGACAACTTGAACTACGTGGTCACAATCCCGTGCATAATCCCAGCCTTCCCAAGGCGATCAAAACCCACCCTAACAGGGTTTTTAAAACCCGAAAATGGACGAATTCACCGCATTATAATCACATTACTCAATCTGAAATCTGAAGTCTTGAGATGGTTTGGCTCCCTGACAGACCTCTCATACCAAATCATTATTGTTGAGCCCAGTTCGCTTGTCTCTCATCTAACTATTCAACTTCTGATATTTGGGGGTTCCAACATCTAGATACTTCTCATACACCTGAAGACCCAACTCGTCAATTGTCACAACTAGCATTTTAGCTAGGAAATTCTATTCTTGTGTAATCATTCAACCATTGTAAAACATATACTCTAAGTAAATATCACCCAATGCTCATTTAAATTCACCTCTCACGTTCAACAAAGAGTCTGAAAACCCTAAGAATCCCGGTTTAAGTCCATATTGGATTAGGATTTCCTTATTGGGCCTAATGGGCCAATAAGCATTCAATCAAACTATTTTGGGCTTGGAAACCCTATTTGGATTCTAAATGGACCCAATTCACAAATCTATAACATTTTGGACCATTTGGGCCTAAATGATTCATTCTAACCCTAATGGGCCTTATTAGGCCATAACTAATCCAATTAACCCTAGTAAGCCATAAATCCATTCTTTTATGCCATTTTGGGCCGTGAACTACCCTAAAGGCCCAATGGGCTGAAAACTTCTCTATGGGCCTCATGATTTCGAGTAAGGATCAAGATTGGGTCAAAAATAATTCATCTTCTCCTTCTTAATTTAATTCTCGGCCCATGAGTAAAAAAAAAAAAAAGAGAAAGACTAATTAATCCAAACCATGACACATCACTTTTGTTTAAAGGATAACCAAGCATAATGCATCACATACATCTAGACAAGTCCCATATATCCATGCACACTCTTCTCTTTCATCTCTTCTTCTAATCACAACCGAGAGGCAAAACACACACACACACACACACTCTTTCAAATCCTCTCCAAACACTCTCCAAGAGATCCTCCTTCTCTCTAAGATCTCGAATTTTGCTTGAGTTCTAAGGATCTTCATCAAGTAAGTATTTCCAATCTTTGGTAAGTTATTATCAAAACACAAAATCTCCTTTCATTTAACATGAAAAAACTTCTTACATACCTTATTTCCATGATCAGACTCTTGGAAACTTCTTAAGCTCGAAATCTACTCAAGGAGCTTGCTAGAGCCAAAAATCTCATCAACTTCTTCCACTTCTTCTTCAAAACCGAAACATCAAAGCAAAGGTGAGTTCAAACCCCCTTGTTTTCGGCTTTTACATGATTTTTGGGGGAGAATACAAGTAAAATGTGTAGATCTATGTGTTATATGCATGTCTTGTGTGATTTCTTAGTTTTATTTGTAAAAATGTGTTAGATCTTAACATATCTCGACCCCTTAGCAACATTAAGTAAAAAGTCTATGAACTAAGACATCTATACATCATATATCAAGCTAAAAGTGTTCATATGTTTAAGACATAAAAACTTAAGGCAAAAACCTTGTTAATGGTCAAAATTGTCAAGAAAACAAAGGACAAGGACAAAAAGTGACATTTATGTTTTTATAAGGATCAAACAGTCCTACTTGTATAAAAAATGTGATTTTTATGATAAACATGCTTTCCAAAGGGGCAAAAATGTAAATTTTAGCTTGATGAGCCAAACATTTGTGCCTCACGGTTTTAGGCCCAAATTTGCGAATAAATGAAAGTTTTGGGATAAAAAAATGTTATTTGACCAAAGTTTGAGTCATAAATGTAAATAAACCAAATTTAAGGGTGAAAATAACATTTATTTCTAAATTGGACCAAAAATGTAACTTTTATCAAAATTTGGGCCGAAAGTGTCAAATTTTACAAACAAGGGGCTGAAAAGGCAATTTTCTGCAAAATTTGGCTATAAATGTCAAAATATAAATTTTTGGACCAAAACTGTGAATTTTTAAACATTTGGGACGGAATTACAAATTTTTATAAGTTATGGACTAAAGTGTTATTTTTACAAAACTTTGGGCGTTAATTGAAAATTTGAGGCTTATTCGCCAAAAACGTCGTTTTTACAAAAAGAGGACTTTCTATAATTAATTTGGCAAACTTTGAGCTAAAACAAACAACGAAACAATAACGAATGGACGAAATACATCGATAACAATTTTATTGGGCCTAATATTCACATTACATGGCCAAAGGGGCTTAAGGGCCCATTCAAATGTATATTGAGCCCAATATCTTCCATGACATGTTGATTGGGCCTTGCGACCCCATGTACATGTTAATTTGGGCCTGAGTTATGGGTCACATGTTTGTTGGGCCTTGGTGGTCCATTTACATGCTTATTGGGCCCAAATTACCCTCTTACGTGTTATTGGGCCTTTGTGGTCCATTTACGTGCTAATTGGGCTTGGATTGAAATTCACATGCTTAGTAGATCGTAACAATACATTTGCATAAGTATTGAACTTCGTATACTTATATATGTACCTTTTGAATATGAAAACATACAACATACACGTGAACATTAAACATAGTACAAAAGATTGAGAATCTAGTGAGACGTGTCGGTTGGCACCTTTGAGTGTACAATCGTAGCATGTAGTTATAACCAAAGTTTCATGGAGGGAGAGCGGGAGTTTGTGCATAGATCTATACGAGGTGACCCCCATGCCTTAGCTGTTCGCTACAGCTAGACTAGGCCAGTCTAGGGCCACAAAACCTTGAGCAAATACCGGCATTTGGAAAAATGCCAAGACAGGCAACCTAGTCATTATCATGTATGGTTATAACGGCTCATATAGAGATCCAATACCAAGTTAACATTTCGGAGATTAACCCTTCGAGTGTGTCAATACAAAACAACTTATTTAACGCTACAAGAACCTCGACATTATTATAAATCAGAAAATATCGGATTTTCTGAGGAAATATTAATATTCAATTATCACTTACTTACAATACAAAGAAATCTAAACTACTTTCATATATGTTACTACTACGAAATTCACACATGCATCTATGGTTGATTATCACATCATTTTCAGACATTTTACAGAAAATATCGGATTTTCTGGGTTTTTACAAAAGGTACAAAGACATTTAATTGAAACATACTTATGAACTCACCAACATTATATATGTTGACCATTTTCAAAATAACTTGTATTCTCAGGTAATCGTTAAGTGGGAAGATTTTCAAGTATGTATGGTTTTATTTTATGTAACATCGCTCATCGTACTATTAATACTTTGAACTTATGTAATTTATAACAATGTACTTGATGTGAACAATGCTGGTTGTTATATGTAATGTTGGTGATGAATGTGTTATGTTTCATGTATATTCATTGTGATGATAATTCAATTGTTAGTCACACGATCCCCCGGACATTTCCGTCGTCTGGTTCGGGAGTGTGGCATCAATACCGCCCTAAACACGAAAACTGTCTGAACATTGATCTGCCTGAAACAATATGCTGCCTCATGGCTGCTTTCCAAAATCTACCGAGACCTCCCTGGTCTCAATTCGTTCACCAATCATCTGAGATACCGAGTTTCGGCCCGGTCGCGGAGCTAAAGGACTCCCACATAGTTGCCTCACATGACTTCCGAACGAAATCCTTCCTTGGAACTAGTTGCCACTAGTTATCATGCCACTGCGACTCTAACAACCTCCTGATCCAACCGATCAGATCCATGCGTCAAATCCCGTCGTTACCA